TTATATATATACATTATATATCAATACAGAATCATAAACTTTCGCTCATTCACAGATCGTCCTCATCCAGCTACTCTCTGGCACGTCACAGCACAAACACTTTATAAACGCACTAGAAATAGACAACAAACAATGAACTGCTGATGTATGAACTTGCTATTACACTGAAATCTTCTGTAACCAGACGCGGTGGGTAGGATAAAGACCGGATTCGAGTTTGTTTCGATGCAAACGACTGACATTTTCATTACCAACTGTGCACTTTCCCGCCTGGAACAGTGGCGTATGATGTACATTAATGAGATCAAGCTCTTAAACATGTAATAGTAGGTTGTACAATGGTTTGAACGTCCTTTTCAAGAATTACCTTTTTTTAATAAATTAACAGTGGCTGAAATGGAATTAGGCGCCATTTTACGTCATCGTATGGAGAGTAACAGCAGGTTGTATTCAAAGTGTCCGCCTTTAAAAATTCAGAGCATTTCACGCCATCCAGACTAAACACAGCTAACAATGACTGCTAATATTAACGTGCATACCCTAGAAAAGGGGGCATAGCTGTTTTTAGCGAGAGGGAGATAAGAGTTCATTCACAAGGACACATTTGTTTGGGTGCATATGTGTGACTCACTGACTGGGTTGTGCATCGATGCGTGTGTACAATTTAACATGAATGTACTCAAGGGATGTCCCTCCTACAGGCCACACGACTTGCTGCAGACAGACACCTGTGCCTCCCCGCGACACCCCAGGGTACACGCGGAAGAAAAAAGTAAAAGTAAAGTAAGTAAAGTACTGCAAGCTTTTAGGTGTTGGTGATGAATCTTTGTACGCTCGTTGCCTTATATATCCACGTTAAATATGGGATTGTGGATCACTAAGGTTTAACTTATCTTATCTCTTATCTTATCTTACAGAAAAGGTGGAAGGAGGGTGGCAGTGAAACAGAACGTATTCATGTAGCTTTCCAACCTGAAGTGAAAATGAGTATATAATTAACAATAGTTAAATGCTGATTTGTCTCAAGGAGTGGATGCCTGGAGTTCCAACACGGTTACAAAGTGCCATTTCTTAATTCATCTCTAATTTTAGCATAATAAACATTTCCTACATCACTGGTTTTGGCTAGAAATTTTGTTATCAATTCCTTCTATCAAAAGAAATGCTGATAGTTTTCTTATTATTTATTTGTCAGATGTTTTCTGTTCTACTTGTTTTCGATTAATGATAGTTTTTTAGTTAGACCAACTGTTCAAGTGAGGAATAAGAACTTCTGTG